TGAAAACACTAAATCAGCATGCAGCCGACAAACGCCGGGCCCGCACGTGGGGCAAGATCTGAAACGTGCTGTCCCAAAGCGAACTACATATCGGTAAGGAACTATTAACCACATAAATGCTACCATCTATCCTACATAATCAGAGGAAATCTCAATATTTCTACACACACATGGACACAGTGACCTGATGGCAATATGATGAAGATCTATGTGTGGAGGTGGTCTGACTGCTGTATTAGCAAAGTGACTACCAGGGACTTGTACATGTCATAGTTACTCTGATTGCCTCATCGACAGTGTCCTGTTTCAACATGGTGTGCCTGTACCACTCAAGAATCTGTAACAAAATTGAAGTTTGTGCATGAACCCAGGGTGGCCTTACACATAGTTGGTACTGTTGGCCATCTTCTCTGTTATTTTTGACTCACCTGACTAAAAGTCATGTTAGATTATGTTGTGCATCGCCCTTCATCTGTCTGTCCGTTCATTGTTGCCTGATCTGAAGTGTTCTGCCTGGTCCATTCTCTAAAATCTGTTGTAATAGTTTTGACATAAATCCGGGTTGGCTTTGTATGGTTGTTTTAGCTCTGCTGAACCAAATGTTCAAACAAGCTTTGTCAGGCTCAGTGGTATTTGTGATTGTGTGATATCATACCCCAGTGGATGTTGATCATGCTGTCTACCACTGGTTTACCTTGCCCCGTCTCAATATAAACAAGGGGTGGTGGGGTAGCCTTGTGGTTAAAGTGTTTGCTCGTCACGCAAAGACCCAGGTTTCAATCCTCCACAATTGTACAATGTGTGAAGCCTATTTCTGGTGTTCCCTGCCATATAATATTGCTTGAATATTGCTAAAAGTGGTGTAAAACTGTACTCACTCACTCACTCACTCACTCACTCACTCAAGGTTGTTTCTTAGTCAAGACTTGATTATTTAGAAGTTACAGTCATATAGCTGGTATAATGCTAACTGTGGTATTATACAAAATATATTGCTACAAATAAAAATTGGACCTCTGTTTGTGCTATTATCCAGGTATTTCTACATTGTATTTTGGGAATTTTAAGTATGTGGATGTGAAATATGGTATATTGTCATGGTTGATGTTTGACACAAGAAACATATTTGACATTCTGATGCCCTTCCCTGTATCAATCAATAAGCAAGTTCATTGAGTTGAACACATGATTATGGTGACCCGATGGCAATATGATGAAGATCTATGTTTGGAGGTGGTCTGACTTCTGTATTAGCAAAGTGACTACCAGGGACTTGTACATGTCATAGTTACTCTGATTGCCTCATCGACAGTGTCCTGTTTCAACATGGTGTGCCTGTACCACTCAAGAATCTGTAACAGTATTGAAGTTTGTGCATGAACCCAGGGTGGCCTTACACATAGTTGGTACTGTTGGCCATCTTCTCTGTTATTTTTAACTCACCTGACTAAAAGTCCTGTTAGATTATGTTGTGCATCGCCCTTCATCTGTCTGTCCGTTCATTGTTGCCTGATCTGAAGTGTTCTGCCTGGTCCATTCTCTAAAATCTGTTGTAATAGTTTTGACATAAATCCGGGTTGCTTTGTATGGTTGTTTTAGCTCTGCTGAACCAAATGTTCAAACAAGCTTTGTCAGGCTCAGTGGTATTTGTGATTGTGTGATATCATACCCCAGTGGATGTTGATCATGCTGTCTACCACTGGTTTACCTTGCCCCGTCTCAATATAAACAAGGGGTGGTGGGGTAGCCTTGTGGTTAAAGTGTTTGCTCGTCACGTGAAGACCCAGGTTCAATCCCCCGTAATTGTACAATGTGTGAAGCCTATTTCTGGTGTTCCCTGCCATATGATATTGCTTGAATATTGCTAAATGCCGCGTAAAACTGTACTCACTCACCCACTCACTCACTCACTCACTCACTCACTCACTCACTCAAGGTTGTTTCTGAGTCAAGACTTGATTATTTAGAAGTTACAGTCATATAGCTGGTATAATGCTGACTGTGGTGTTATACAAAATATATTGCTACAAATAAAAATTGGACCTCTGTTTGTGCTATTATCCAGGTATTTCTACATTGTATTTTGGGAATTTTAAGTATGTGGATGTGAAATATGGTATATTATGGTTGATGTTTGACACAAGTATGATATTTGACTTTCTGATGCCCCTCCCTCTATCAATCAATAAGCAAGTTCATTGAGTTGAACACATGATTATGGTGACCCGATGGCAATATGATGAAGATCTATGTTTGGAGGTGGTCTGACTGCTGTATTAGCAAAGTGACTACCAGGGACTTGTACGTGTCATAGTTACTCTGATTGCCTCATCGACAGTGTCCTGTTTCAACATGATGTGCCTGTACCACTCAAGAATCTGTAACAGTATTGAAGTTTGTGCATGAACCCAGGGTGGCCTTACACATAGTTGGTACTGTTGGCCATCTTCTCTGTTATTTTTAACTCACCTGACTAAAAGTCATGTTAGATTATGTTGTGCATCGCCCGTCATCTGTCTGTCCGTTCATTGTTGCCTGATCTGAAGTGTTGGCTTTGTATGGTTGTTTTAGCTCTGCTGAACCAAATGTTCATACAAGCTTTGTCAGGCTAATACTTAATACTAAAGAACATGTCTACGGTCCCTCCGTCTGTCCTTTACGACCTCAGTTCGTTGGATGTAGGGAGGTGATTCACGACAAAATATAATCAAGTTTCAACAGTTTATTACAGAAAATAATATTAAAAAAACCAAACTGTAACAAAATATACATGCAAACTCAACAACAATTACAAATCAGTCAATCCTATTCCTAACTAAAATTTAAACTATTAAGCCAAAAATCCTACTTACTTATACCTTAAGAATAAAACTCAGAAGCAGCCTAAAGCAGACGAACAAACCCCTACATAACCCACTTTAATTAATAATCACTAAATCATCCTTAACACAGTCTACGAGGACAAACAAACCACCCTTCCAAACCTCCTAACACAATAGGTCAATGTAGCTACATCACATAGATTACATTATTTCTGAATTAAATCCACCTGTCCAATCCACCTTTATAACAGTTTACCCATGAATTCTAAAGTTGCCACATAAATTAGATCTTTTTTGCCAAAAATCACTAGGGATTGGGGAATTGTTTGACTTCCGAACAGGGTAATTTGGTGTGGTCTCCCTCACCTGTATTGATCTTCCCGATCATGCCAGGCCCCTCCTAGAGCATTCGTGATAATCACTTATATACTCACAAGGACACGTGACCTCTGGGTCAACATGTCTAAACGGTGCAGCCACTGGCTAATCCCGTCTGTCACCAACCAATCTGGGCGCTCTTACAATACGACCCACGACTGAAAACACTAAATCAGCATGCAGCCGACAAACGCCGGGCCCGCACGTGGGGCAAGATCTGAAACGTGCTGTCCCAAAGCGAACTACATATCGGTAAGGAACTATTAACCACATAAATGCTACCATCTATCCTACATAATCAGAGGAAATCTCAATATTTCTACACACACATGGACACAGTGACCTGATGGCAATATGATGAAGATCTATGTTTGGAGGTGGTCTGACTGCTGTATTAGCAAAGTGACTACCAGGGACTTGTACATGTCATAGTTACTCTGATTGCCTCATCGACAGTGTCCTGTTTCAACATGGTGTGCCTGTACCACTCAAGAATCTGTAACAAAATTGAAGTTTGTGCATGAACCCAGGGTGGCCTTACACATAGTTGGTACTGTTGGCCATCTTCTCTGTTATTTTTAACTCACCTGACTAAAAGTCATTTTAGATTATGTTGTGCATCGCCCTTCATCTGTCTGTCCGTTCATTGTTGCCTGATCTGAAGTGTTCTGCCTGGTCCATTCTCTAAAATCTGTTGTAATAGTTTTGACATAAATCCGGGTTGGCTTTGTATGTTTGTTTTAGCTCTGCTGAACCAAATGTTCAAACAAGGTTTGTCAGGCTCAGTGGTATGTGTGATTGTGTGATATCATACCCCAGTGGATGTTGATCATGCTGTCTACCACTGGTTTACCTTGCCCCGTCTCAATATAAACAAGGGGTGGTGGGGTAGCCTTGTGGTTAAAGTGTTTGCTCGTCACACGAAGACCCAGGTTTCAATCCCACACAATTGTACAATGTGTGAAGCCTATTTATGGTGTCCCCTGCCATATGATATTGCTTGAATATTGCTAAAAGCGGCGTAAAACTGTACTCACTCACTCACTCACTCACTCACTCAAGGTTGTTTCTTAGTCAAGACTTGATTATTTAGAAGTTACAGTCATATAGCTGGTATAATGCTGACTGTGGTGTTATACAAAATATATTGCTACAAATAAAAATTGGACCTCTGTTTGTGCTATTATCCAGGTATTTCTACATTGTTTTTTGGGAATTTTAAGTATGTGGATGTGAAATATGGTATATTATGGTTGATGTTTGACACAAGTATGATATTTGACTTTCTGATGCCCCTCCCTCTATCAATCAATAAGCAAGTTCATTGAGTTGAACACATGATTATGGTGACCCGATGGCAATATGATGAAGATCTATGTTTGGAGGTGGTCTGACTGCTGTATTAGCAAAGTGACTACCAGGGACTTGTTCATGTCATAGTTACTCTGATTGCCATCTAATTTGTACTGCATGCGTACGCACTCCCGCACGCACGCACGCACGCACGCACGCACACACACACCTATGCATGCATGCATGCACGTACACACACAGTGTGTCAGCTCCAGACTTGTGCCCACGTGTGTATCTCCTAATTATCATGCATTTTGGTTCATTACAGGCTAACCCAGGTACATGTAGTCATCAGGCCAGGTTATTGCTAAAGTCAATACGGAATTAAGTCATGAATTGATACATGGCTTTCATCATGTTCCTCAGTGAATCATGACAGCCCTAGCCCTAGTACTGTTTGAAGCAGCATTGAACCCCACTCACTCACTCATTCACTGTGTTCACCAGGTATGGATATTTGACCAGCCAGATGGAGGCGGGAGGTTGTTGCGACACAGGGAAGGACACAAAGCCCCACCAACACGCATACGTCACTACGGCAGAGATGGTCAAAATATTATCAGCGCAGGTAACAGTTTGCTCTCTCTTACATCATATAAACTTCAACTAAATACTGAGAGAATCTTTGCTGTCGATATGTTACACTTCATCAGCAAATAATCAACCATTTTTCTTGGTGCAAAAATATGATTCAAGGGAGATAACTCTTGTGGCTCTATCATTGGTCAGCTCACAGGTACACAATACTGACTTTAGATCCTGATACTCAGCAATGATACCAGTATTTGTAGCAAAACAAGTTATGAATTCAAATATTAGTTTATTTAGAAGCCTTAATTAGTAGTTTAATTTCATATGCTATACTGCAGCACATTGAAATCTTGTCTCGCATTTTACTGAATTGTGACAACACACAGGCAAGCTGTGAAAACAAGTAATTTCTACTTCTTCAGGGACACTTTTAGCGTGAGGTTGATTTCCTAGGCCAAGTGGGTCAGGTCCTGTACTGTTCACAGGGTGTTACACAATGCAGAAATGTTAATAGAGAATATATTAAGGGTACATGTTTGTTCTCCCATTATGGCCTGTTGTCATTGATTCATTTCCGTGTCCTTCATCTCCTCTTGAACATGTGGAAGGAACATGGCTTCTACAAATTGCTGAGACCATGGAACAATGAATGAACATACTTTGTATTTTGGTGCAATTATTACCATTGACTTCATGTGATCCTGTCTTGGTCTATCAATAAACAGGTCTATTTCTGACTCCTTAGTTAAACACGTGGACATAGTGACCTGATGGCAATATGATGAAGATCTATGTGTGGAGGTGGTCTGACTGCTGTACTAGCAAAGTGACTACCAGGGACTTGTTCATGTCATAGTTACTCTGATTGCCTTCTAAACATGGTGTAACAGGATCAAAAGACATCTTTTGGGGTCAAAACTTTATTAGAGCTCACCATACAATGTCTCTGTGATGTAAGGCGCAAATTGGAAGCAAAATGCAACTGTAGGTCAAACCACTTCTAAACAGCCGAGGACATTGAAATTCCTTATCTGAAATCATGTTTGCTTCGGGCAAGTGCCTCAGATCCTCTACTGTTTACAGGGTTTTACACAATGCAGAAGTGTGTATCCAGTGCGTACAAATGTATAAAATGGACAAAGAAAAAATATATGTTGCATCCGAGGGGCCCAAAGTAATATTCAGTTACCAAATTCTTGACATGAAATGTAAAGGTTCTGTAATTCAAATAATTATCAAGTATTACTGTACAGCACACTTCACCATTTCATTACTTAAGAATTGACTTTCACTTTGTGTGAGTTCATTGGAGTATGAACCTTCATAGAGTCAGGGTCAAACTGTATGAACATCGGAGCTTGCGACGACGTTCATACAATGTTTGGCCCTCACAAAGTGAAAGTCAATTCTTATAATTTTTTTATCACAATTTTTTACCTCAAAGGATGTAGGCCAAGATCTAAACACAATTTTATTTAGTACGTGTGACTTCATGTTGACACTGACAGCCATACAACAACCAGCTATATAGTTCCTAGTATAGTAAAATAGTTCCTCAAAAAGAGAGGTGACATGAGCGTATGGATGCACAACTTGCTCTTCAGAAACATCTTACACAGCACATTTGTTCAGATCATATCCTCATTAGATGAGAAAGGTCTGTAAAGAACTACCTCAGTAAGTCAGTCAGAATGACAGCGCGTCGTAATACATTTACATCAAGTACAAGTCGTCAAAATGGCTGACACGATAAACGTGACGGGAGAGATTTCCGAAGTTGTTAATGAACCTGTAGTGGTTTCATGTGTTAGTCATCATTGATCAACCGGCTGATCATTGAAAGGTGAATAAAAATGCGTCAAACAGACACTAAGGTAAATTCATAGATTGCTAGAGACTGTCAGTGTCAGCCTAGACACGGATCGAGACGATGCTACGATAGTTTAGATATGTGCATTTTTTCGTTTGTTCATTAGGATAGGCTGTAGCGAGGATATTCGTGAACAATCATGCAGTCACTCTCTCTGACATTTCTCAGTGCATACTGAAACGCTGAGATCAAGAATAAAGGTTCTAAGTGATCAGAAAGAACGCTTGTGTATGTTTTTCGGGCTAGGGAATTCCCAGGGTTTTCCCCAGGAATGTGGAAGTAGTCCGTCAGTGTTTACGTCATTTCAAAAACAAGGTCTCGTTAAAAACGTATGAACGTCAAATTGTGTCGTTCATACACTTATGAACGTCAATTTCGCGATCATGTGACCAACCTCTCGTCCAATGGAAAAGCTGTATATCATGTAAACTTCAAATTAAAAAATTATTTACAATTAATTTGATATTAAGTATTGGGGGTCCCCATGTAAGTCAAGGTAAGACCCTGTGGTCTTGAGACAGTAGCAGTGTTAAGACAGCGTTGTGCAGATGAACCTTGCATTGGCTGTGTCTTGAGTTGACTGTAGAGTTAGGTGACATTTGCGACATTGTTTGTAAGTCACTGATGTTGTTGCAGGTCAAGACAGTCTGGTGTTGTCCTTCTCCACGCTACATGACAAACACAACAAGAGCATGGGCCGGGCATCCTACAACAAGAAACAATCCAAGAAATCTGGCCGTAGACTTGACCAGCACATGATGCCTCCGGTCACAGAATTCACAGCAGGTACAGTGTTTCCCGAGACTTCTTAAAGTGCAGCCATTAGAAATACAAGTCATGGCAACTTATATGTCCAATAAAAAAAAGGCAAAAGGCTTAATAAAAAATTTAAAACACTCATCTGATTTCATTGTGTCCTTTTTCACCCGACCTGATGAAGCATGAGTTTATTGCAACATGTTTTAAGGTTAAAGAAGCGTTCTTTGTAGCACAGGAAGAATGGTTCTGTGTCTTTATGTTGATTGGTTGTCATGGAAAGGTTTGAATCACTGGAGTTGGAGAAGTAGTATTCAGGATCAGTAGAAACGTGCTGGATTCTTTGAATTGTAATCTTCAGTGAAGATCATTTCAACTTAGATGACAGTGCTTGAAAGGCCTTAAACTTGGTAGGTCAGCCTTGAAAATGCCTTAAATGTTAATCTGTCTTGAAAATGCCTTAAAATAAAAAGAAATTGAGCAGTATGTGTTGATGTGTCATCTATTCAAAGAATTATGTAAACAGCTGATGTACAAAACCAATCTTGATATTTGTCTGTTCCCAGAGCAGTGTCGTGAGAGTGACTGGGACAACATGGTGGCATGTCATCGAGGGGAGAGGGTCGTGACCACCTGGAGCTACCAGCGTTCCACCATGGGTAAACACAAGTTTGAGAATGACAGGTTCCACGATAACCCAGTACATCGGAGGACAACAGCCGAGGTGAGCTTACGATCACGGAGATGTTTTGTTGAAATCATTGATGGACAGAACATAAGATTCGTCTGTCTTGTGGGACCCTGCAGGGATTCTGGTTCAGAATAGATCCCCAGGAACCGATCCTTGTCGTAAGAGTGAGTGAGTGAGTGAGTTGGGTTTAACATCGCTTATAACAGTATTCCAGTCATATCACGGTGTGTCAGCTTAATGTGGGAGGAAAGCCCGAAGTGATACAGGTCTCATAATTCTCTTTCAGATTAAATCCTCCTTGGGGCACTTATTGCATTTTCCTGGCTCAAGAAAATCTACATGACATAGTTGTAACCATTTTCCTTAATAAAAATTGTTACCACACAAAAAACTTTGTTTTTGTATGATATACGTCCACCCTTATGGTGCCTCACCCTCCACGGCGCGTCACGCCAAGGGAAGCAACTCTCACCCAAATCACTTTCCTTATGTCATCTGACAAAGACAGACGTGCTGTTTTTTTCAAGACAATATAAAGACAAGATAATCGTTCGTACAAGAACCATGGCAGACCAAACTGTATGTATGGTACATTTCTTTCATGCAAAGGCGTAATACCTCGCATTGTAAAGTTATAAAGTTGTAATTATGTGACACGTGTACGATACCTTTGAAATAAGGCCGTCGTAGCGTCCATTTTGTAGTGCCACGTATGATATATGTAACACCAGGGCCATCAAAAACGGCTTCGGTTTTTTAATCTATATCATCGGGCTTTAGCCTACAATCTTTTCCTTTAAATAAACCCAAGGTGGTGTGTTAATTATTTTAAATTACACTTACCTTTTTTACGGGTTTTCTACACCTTCGCGCGTAACACGCCCACTTTGGTGTTATAATTATACTACGACATTGGCTATTAGTATCGCGTTACCAATCGCATTCTAAATTACGTCTTTGCTTCTAGTTACACAATTTATGCACGTATCTTTCCGATCTTTCAATCGCACTGATACACTTTATTACCCTTCCCGCCAAACTCAAAAATTACGGTCTTTTTTACAGACCTTCAAACTGTGTACGGGGTGCTCGGCTTCGATTCCCCCCCAAGACAGGCATGATACCTGCATAAAGTGTTTGGCCGAAGACGGGCATGACGATGGGTCATGCCCGATCTGTGTTGCATTTACACCACGGGCGCAAAAAAAGAGAAATGTGGACCTCTTACACTTTAAGGGTCTATTGAAGGCGGGGGTGGACATTAGATCGGCAAAGACCGCCCCGCCCCCCTCAAAAAAAGTAAGAAAGGGTAAAAAGGCAGCTGAGACTGTCTCCTCCGCTCCCTCCCCGGGGGCCGGGGGAGAAGGCTCTAGGGTCCCCGTCACAATCACTGCACCCTCTCCTGCACCGTCTTTGGCAGACATCTCTGCCTTGTTGAGGTCGCAGATGGCGTCGATGATGGAGGAGGTAAAGTCTCAGCTCCGAGAGGAGTTGCGGACCGAGCCTTCCCCGTTGTCGGCGCCGGACGCGGCTTCGAGACCTTGTGATATGCCCGGCGTCGGCCGAGGCAGGCCACTTGGTCTCGGGGACGAACTCAGACCGGGCTTCGGCGCCGGCTCGAGGTCGCTCCCCAGCGGAGGGGTGGCAGGCACTGGCCCGTTCACTACCGACGCACAGTTCTCCCTAGCGGAGCCAGACGCCTCTTCCGAGGCCGAGGCTTCCTCTAGCGGATTTCTAGCCCAGAGCCAGGTGGGTTCCCTTGAACCCCCGGCACCTCGGGACCGGGACTCGGCTTCGGGCCGGGTGCAGCCCGGGGATGCGAAGGCCCAGGCCTTCGGGCGTCCCCTTCCGACTTCGTCTGCCTCTTCTCTCGGGGAAGAGTCGATTAATTTCGGCTCGGAATCGAGAGAGGAGGAGTGGATGGAGGAGGGGGGAGACGACTCGGAGACCTCGGGAATATTTTCCTTCGTTTCCTCGTTGAGGCATGTACGGGACAAGATTGTCCAGGTACTGCCTCAGGTGGCTGCGCCCATGCCCCAGTCGGATCCGACTGAGTTCCGCCTTCCGGGGGACGCTTTTGCTCCGAGCAAGGCGCCCCAGGTGCGGCTCCGTATTCTGTCTTCATTGGTGCATGAAGTCATCAACCCTCTGTTGTCGGGTGCCCGCAGGAAGTTCGACCTGCCCGAACTTATTAAGCGGTACCCGTTAGCAGAGGATGGTGATTTTGAGGTACCGGTGGTGGACGAATGCGTCTGGACCTCCGTTACCCTGGGGGGGTCTTCGACCCCCAACTTGGCTAAGGTCAAGCAGGGCCGGCGGTTGCCACCCTTTCCCGCGTGCGGTACGGAGCTGAAGGCTGCTTACGTTTGCTTCGAGGAGCAATATCGTAACGCATGTCAGCAGCTCCGGGTGTCCGTACACTCCGCTTATCTGTCGGCCGTACAGAGGGAGTTAGCGGGAGAGGGGCCGGCCGACTCTTCGGAGTTGGCCGCGCAACTGACGGAGGTACATAGTCATCTTGCGAGGGACGCTATTCGTAGCTGTGCCTCGCAGATGATGTGCGCAGTCATGGGCATGCGCAGGCTGTGGATGTCGGTATCCAAATACTCGGCTTCCACACGCCAGGATCTACTTGCTTTGCCTTATAAGATGGGTGCCACCCTCTTCCCTGGGGCTCAGCAGGTGGTCCGAGAGGCCGCACAGTTGTATGCCTCCATCAAGGATTCTAAGGCCTTGTTGGAGGTACCATGCGTTAAACCGCGTAAGCGGACCTCTCCACTTGCTTCCTCCTACGCTGACGCGCCGGGTCAGAAGTCTGCACCTGCTTGGAAGCAGCCGCTTCCTTCAGGTAAGGGCGCCGGGAGGAGCAAGAGAGGCAGGGGCCGGGGCAGGGCAGCTGGTCGAGGCCAGCAGCCTTTTCGCGGGGCCGGGAACCCATCGGGTTCCCATTAGCGCCCGAAGCGCCCCGGGCGGACCCACGGTCGCATGTTTTCGAACTGCCGACAGCCGGGGTCCGCTGCCTCAAGCCGGATGTCCCCGTAGGCGGCCGACTGGCTCTATTCCTGCAGGAATGGGAGACAGTCACATCCAATCCCTGGACCCTGTCCACTCTAAGGGATGGCCATTTGCCTCGGTGGAAACATCATCCGCCCCCCTTCTCCGGGATAAAGCACACTCCGGTGCCTGCTACCCTGGAGAGGGCGGAATTCCTCCGTGCCGAGGTCGACGCACTTCTTATGAAGGCTGCGATCGAACCGGTTCCCGTGGGACAGGAAAGCGAGGGCTTCTACTCGACATATTTCCTAGTCACCAAAAAAGACGGAGGGTTCAGGCCTATTCTCAATCTGAGAAGGCTGAACAAACTTATAGAGGTACCGTCCTTCAGGATGGAGACACTGCGCTCGGTGATCTCAGCTGTCGAGACCGGAGAATGGCTAACGTCAATAGACCTAAAAGACGCCTATCTCCACGTACCCATACACCCCGAGTTCAAGAAATACCTCAGGTTTTCTTTCGACGGGAGGTGTTATCAGTTCAGGGTTCTACCATTCGGGATCGCTACGGCCCCGAGGGTGTTCACCAAGCTGATGTTGATTCCCGCCCAAGTGGCCAGGTCAAAAGGTCGGTTCTGCCATCCGTACCTCGACGACTGGTTACTAAGAGCTCTATCGCAATCCCTGAGTCAGATAGCTACACAACAAGTGATAGATATTCTGATCACTCTAGGGTGGATAGTCAATCTCAAGAAGTCAGATCTGAGCCCTACTCAGAATCTAGTCTTCCTAGGGGCGAATTTCAACACGGTGAGCGGACTTGTATCTCTGTCACAAGATCGCATTACCAAGGTCAGAAGTGTTACTTCCCAGTTCCTTCTGTCCGCCAGTCACACTGCTCGTACATGGCTCCAGTTACTGGGCAACATGGCGGCGACAGTGGATGTGGTTTGGCGGGCGCGCTTGAGAATGAGACCCATTCAACAAGCGCTCCGTCGACTTTGGGTGAACTCGGAAGATCTCGAGACTGTTCTCGAGACTCCGCAGTGGCTCAATGCACACCTTCAGTGGTGGACCGAGGTCGGGAATCTGTCCCGGGGGCTCCCCCTCGACACTCCCGTGCCGTCTCTCACAGTTCAAACAGACGCGTCACTCTCCGGCTGGGGAGGCGTTCTGAACGATCACACTGCCTCGGGACTATGGTCCCAGCAGGAGATCAAACTGCATATCAATGTGCTAGAACTGAGAGCGGTCAGGTTGGTGTTCCAACGCTTCCTGGATCTGCTTCGTGGCCAAGTGGTGCGTCTAGAGATGGACAACCAAACGGCGATGACTTACATCCGGAAGCAGGGGGGAACGGTGTCTCCGTCGCTTCTCCAAGAGACGTGGCAGTTCCTCCTATGGTGCGACTCACACGTTATCAGGGTGCTACCTGTTTATCTCCCGGGGGTAGACAACGTCCGTGCGGACGCTCTGTCTCGCCGGATCCTCGCTCCTCACGAGTGGAGGCTCGACCCGGGGATATTCGGGATTATCTCCCAGTTATACGGGTCGTTCCAGGTGGATCTGTTTGCGTCTGGGGTGAATCACCAGACACCAACGTTCTGCTCCCGAGTCCCCGACCCGAGGTCGGTGGCACCGGACGCCTTCCAGCTAGATTGGACGGACAGAATACTGTGGGCATTCCCCCCAGTACCTCTGATTTCCAAGGTCCTGTCTCAGCTAGCCACTCAGCCTGCGCGACTACTTGTGCTCCTGGCACCCCTTTGGTCGGCGCAGAGTTGGTTTCCAGTCATACTCAGGTTTCTGGCTCAGCCTCCTGTTCTATTACCTTTACGACCGGACCTCCTATCCCAGAACGAGGCCCTCCACCCGAATCCCAGGATTCAGTGGGTGGCTTGGCCACTGTCCGGAATCGCCTCCAGGAGAGCGGTATTCCTGCACGAGTTGCAGACACAATACTGGCTTCGCGGAGGGATTCGACAAACGTTCAGTACGAGGATAGATGGGCCTGCTATGCGCGCTGGTGTGTCGATAGAAGGATTGCAGATCCCTTTTCTGCAGATCTCGTAGCCGTACTTGAGTTCCTCCAGTCGCGACTAGATGTCGGCCTGGCCGCATCGACAGTCCGGGGGTACTCTACAGCTATCGCTGCCTTTCACGTCCCCGTCGACGGGGCACTTTTGGGTGCGCACCCATTAGTGCAGCGTTTTTTAGCAGGTGTGGACAGGATCCGACCGCCTGTCCGGCGGATCAGTCCCCCTTGGGAATTGTCAATCGTTCTTGATTGGCTGTCCGGTCCTTCTTTTCGGGATCTGTCGTCTCTCTCTCTTCAGCTGTTGAGCTGGAAGACGGCGTTCCTTGTGGCGGTAACGTCCGGCAGACGGGTAGGCGACATTCACGCAATGTCAGCCGATCCCGAACTAACTGTCTTTCACCGGGACAGGGTCAGTATTCGCCTGCCGGACTCTTACCGTCCTAAGGTCGCACACGCCTTCCACGTGACGGCTCCTATTGAGCTACCTGCTCTTTCACAGCCTTCCTCGTCGGGGACCACTACAAGACATGCTCATGTATTGGATGTCCGCAGGACCCTTAAGTCCTATATCAGCAGAACTAAGGGTATCCGTAAGGATAATCAACTATTTTGCTGTTATGGCGGTAGGAAGGCTGGCTCACCTGCGAGCAAACAAACTATCTCGCGGTGGATAGTCTCTACTATATGTACGGCGTACACGCTTCAAGGCAGGGACCCCCCTACCAAGTTGAAGGCTCATTCGGTTAGAGCAGTGGCTACGACACAAGCGTATGCTGCGGCTCTGCCCATTGAGGAGATCTGCTCCGCGGCTATTTGGAGCCAGCCGAGCACGTTCATCAAACATTACCAACTCGACAAACACTCAAGCGAGCGTGCTCGGTTTGGTCAGTCAGTTCTCCGAACTGGGCAAAGTACTACATCTCTAGCCGATTGAGCCTTCGAGATTTTAGACCGCCCGGACCGGTTATAACACTGCTCAGTAACGGTCCGGATTTTATCTTCTACGGTCGATACAATACCAGCCATTACTAGTCGATAATCATCGTAATTGCACATGCACTCCTTCGATTACGGGGACCCTCTGGCCTAGCTCTGTGCGGGTTTATAGTCTCTCGTGATCTGTGCCCCCAATATCACTTGTTCAAAAGAAGTGGGTGGGGTGGGGGGTGTGTGTGTCTCGAGTTCTCGATATGATGAGCCACAAAGAATGGCTCTTTTCATTGTGTATGGTCGATAACGCCCTGTCTCCAGCCCCCGCCTTTCGACGGTGGTGCCTCACGATAAGGTTGGTTCCATTTATTGAACTCTTGTTTATTCATTGAAATAATCAAAATACGATGTATTTTATGCACGCTTGTTGCTGACGGATGCCACTTCCTAGATTATCTTTAGGAGTCTATCTTGATGCAATAAGTGCCCCAAGGAGGATTTAATCTGAAAGAGAATTTTACAAACCTGTAGAGGTTATGAATTCTCTGATGAAATCCTCCTTGGGGCACGGCCACCCGCCTCCCCACATTCCGTCAGCATTAGACATATGGAAAGTGATTTGGGTGAGAGTTGCTTCCCTTGGCGTGACGCGCCGTGGAGGGTGAGGCACCATAAGGGTGGACGTATATCATACAAAAACAAAGTTTTTTGTGTGGTAACAATTTTTATTAAGGAAAATGGTTACAACTATGTCATGTAGATTTTCTTGAGCCAGGAAAATGCAATAAGTGCCCCAAGGAGGATTTCATCAGAGAATTCATAACCTCTACAGGTTTGTAAAAATTTACCACTTCGGTGAAACCCACGAGCACGGGTATGGTTTTGACAAACCTAGAAACAAAATCGGGGCAAATGGGGATTCGAACCCACAATCATAGGTTTCTGGTGTGCCCAAGAGACGCAACTCTGCACAGCAAATTGCGGCACCTCAGACGACTGGGTCACTCGTGCCCCCTGCTGGTCGTAGGAGGTGACTTAATGAATCGGATAGTCAGGCTAGGTGACTTGGTTGATGATGTGTTATCATGACCCTTGCAGGGAGGGATTCTGGGTCAGAATAGATCCCCAGCAAGAGGCGATCAAATGGTCGGTTGGTCAGGTTACCCTGATGGCATGAACTGTTGCTCATAATATCAATAACTGGTTTGTCTGGTTCAGACTGGATTATTCACTGGAATATTGTTATGTTCAGTATTAAGCAACAAATAGACACAACAATTTGTCTTGTGTTGTCAGATGTGTATAATCATGTCTGGAGCAGAGTCTAGCATATGTAGCTGTGAAACATATCTTTGTACTCCTCCACTTTCATAATCCAATGTCTACTGTTCACAAATACATGGCTATTAATCCCTACATAGTAATGACCTTCAAGAGTCTGATGCTGATTTTGATGAGATTGAATATATATGTTGCCAAAGTTGTAATCCTGTAAACATAAAGGGTAACATGTGTTCATGTATTTTCTTACTGCTCTGCATGATCTTAAGGGAGCATGACTCTAAAAAGTCCAAGGCACCTGTGATTGTAGGTTCGAATGCTGGAACATCCTAATTATGTTTCTGTATTTGTCAGCACTATACCGTTTAAACTAATGTATTTATGTCTAAGACTTGCATCACTTCAGGGCTTTCCTCCCACATCAAGCGGGCACGCCATGATATAACTAAAATAATGTTCAAAGCGGCATTAAACCAGACTCTATCCCTCATGCGACCGCCTCCGTGGTCTTGTGGTAGAGCGTACGCCCGGAGAGCGGAAGGTCCGGGGTTCGATCCCCGACCGCGTCATACCAAAAGACGTTAAAAGATGGTACTTGTTGTTACCCTGTCTGGCGCTCGGCATTAAGGGGCTAAAACAAGGACTGGTCGGCTCGGAGTCTGTATACTGTGTCTGAGTGGGGTATTCATGTTAAACTGCGGCATGGTATCTCAGTGAGCTAGCACTATAAATCGGCATCAGTCTGGACTAGTACAAGCAGTCACACAAACACACACACGTACATGCACGTCGCTATATAAGTGCAATAATCTTGGACGCGACGTTAAACCCCATTTCACCTCACCTATCCCTCATGGTCTTAATCTGAAAAAACACATAGTGTCAGTGAGACAGACTGAAAGTAGTTCCGGCATGAAGTGTTATTTCACTGGAGTGAAATGTCACTTATATGTCTTCACAGAAATATAGTATTTCTTCATCAAACATGTTGAATAATATTAATATCTAATATCTTATGTGTCAGGCGGTAGAGATCACTCCATGTGGGAACTTTGCTCTGATTGGCTACAGCTCTGGTCATGTAGATATGTACAACCTTCAGTCCGGCATCTTCAGAGGGACGTTTGGGACACCAACAGGTAGGTGATGAGCCAGACAAGTCCACCGAGCAAACATGTTTTTCAATACCATGACAATCACTGGATTGTCTGGTCCAGATTAGAGTATTTACAGGCTGTCATAGTATAGATGAATTATTGCTGTTTGAGAATCATTGCTCATAATATCAGTCACATTATCTGGTCCAGACTTGATTATTTTGAAGTGTCATATAGCTGGAATATTGCTGACTGTGGCATTATACAAATGCTATTGCTGCAAGTTAAAATAGGACTCCTGTTTGTATTTTTTGTATTTTAAGTGTGTGGATGTGAAAAATGGTATATTATCATGGTTGATGTTTGACACAAGAAAGATATTTGACTTTCTGTTGCCCTTCCCTGTATCAATCAATAAGGAAGTTCATTAAGTTGAACACATGTATATTGTGACCTGACGGCAATATGATGAAGATCTATGTTTGGAGGTGGTCTGCCTGCTGTATTAGCAAAGTGACTACCAGGGACTTGTACATGTCATAGTTACTCTGATTGCCATCTAACTTGTGCTGCATACATATACACTCACTCACACACCCATGAACGCACACACGCACACGCACACGCACACGCACACATGCACACATGCACACACACAAGACAGACAGTAGCAGTGAATATAATCCAGATGTAAATTCATAAAGTTCCACTGCAAATATCCATAATTCTTTTCTTCTTCTTTTTAACAGTCCAGCTTTAAGAACCATAACCATGTTAATATAAAGCCTAAAAAATTGAGGCAGGAGACATTTTATGTAAGAAAAGTTATTTGAAAGTTGGCATTTACCTGTGGTGCTGACAGAAAATAATATGTTGCATTACATCTCACACATCAGAACTCATGTAAACATGGAGTTTTTGGATAAAAACCATATCAAATATGAACCTTTCCTGCTGCATCATGGGAGAGCCTGAAGGTCAGTCCCTGCTGTATTCCCTGGCCCCAAAATATAAATACTGCTGTCAATTGTTGTAGTTCTGCAACCAAATTTGGATAATTCTGCACACAATTCTGCAAACTTTTAAGCTTAGTTTTCGTGAATTTATTAGTTGTACACCTATTTCATTTGTAGCAGGGAGGCAGGCATTGTCCTGATAAACTTATTCATGCCTAGAATAACTTTTTGAAATGAAATTAAATTCTTCACAAGTTCTGCACAAAAAATGATTTTCTGCAAGATAAGTACAATTCTGCACCAAATTTTAATTTCTGAAAAATATTCCGCAACCGCAGAATTGCAGAATACAGCAGGGACCTAAGCCCACAAGGAATCTGAAGCTGACATGTCAAGGAATGGTTTGGGGCTAGTTAAAGATTCTGTATTCTCCGCAGCACACTCCTGTTCTGTGAGGGGTATTGCTGTGGATGGGCTCAACCAGCTGGTCGTCACAGCAGGGGCAGACGGACAAGTCAACTTCTGGAAATTCAAAACAAAAGTGTTTCTATGCTCTGTGAAACTCAAATGCAGTATATCTCGTATTCTTCTTCACAGGGAAAGGTAGGACCTGCTTTGTTTGTGTTTGTCTTTTTGTATTGTTGAAACATGCCAATTGAATCGTTCCTATTGCAACTTTACAATTAAATATGCCTTAAAGTTCTAAAACATGGCTACTAAAGCATGCCAATTGAAATATGGCTTCTAAAACATGCTGATTGAAACAAGCCTACTAAAATATGATGATTGAAGCATTGCTACTTAAGCGTACTGATTGAAACATGGCTACTAAAACATGCTGATTGAAACATGGCTACTCAAACATGCTGATTGAAACATGGCTACTAAAACATGCTGATTGAAACATGCCTACTTAGATATGCTGATTGAAACATGGCTTCTAAAATATGCTGATTGAAACATGGCTACTTAAGCATGCTGATTGAAACATGGCTACTAAAACATGCTGATTGAAACATGGCTACTAGAACATGCTGATTAAAACATGCCTACATATATATGTTGATTGAAACTTGGCTACTTAAGCATGCTGATTGAAACATGGCTACTAAAACATGCTGATTGGCTACTAAAACATGCCAATTGAAACATGGCTACTAAAACAATTGAAACATGGCTTCTAAAACATGCCAATTGAAATATGGCTACTAAAACATGCTGATTGGCTACTAAAACATGCCATTTGAAACATAGCTACTAAAACATGCCGATTGAAACATGGCTACTAAAATATGCTGTTTGAAACATGGCAACTAAAACATGCTGATTGGCTACTAAAACATGCTGATTGAAACATAGCTACTAAAACATGGCTACTAAAACATGCTGATTGAAACATGGCTTCTAAAATATGCTGTTTGAAACATGGCTACTATAACATGCTGATTGGCTCCTAAAACATGCTGATTGGCTATTAAAACATGCTGATTGAAACATAGCTACTAAAACATGCCAATTGAAACATGGCTTCTAAAACATGCCGATTGAAACATGGCTACTAAAACATGCCGCTTAAAACATGGCTACTACTATAATGGCTACTAAAATAAGCTGTTTGAAACATGGCTACTAAAACATGCTGATTGAAACATGGCTACTAAAACATACCGATCGAAACATGGCTACTAAATTATGCTAATTGAAACATGGCTACTAAAACATGCTGATTGAAACATGCATATTGTAATTTTGTATCCTTAATTTTTACATCTCTGCCCTAAATTTATAACTTGAAACCATTCTTATGTTTGTAATCGTTTTGCTTTTTATGAAGAATGTAAACTGAACTGCACAAAGTTTGTTCGGTGCCGGTGGAGCCCGAGTGATTATGGGTCATGTCACCCTTTACTAGCTTTTTGGAATAAGTGTCAAGTTAACCCATATTGCTCAGAAACCTGAAGGTCAATAGTCTATCATGTTTTTTTGTTTGTTTGTTGTTTAACGTCGCACTCAGCAATATTCCAGCTGTATGACTGCGGTATGTAAATAATCGAGTCTGGATTAGACAATCCAGTGAATGACATCATGAGCATCTTTCCACGCAATTTGGATCGATGACATGCATCAACCAAGTCAGCGAGCCTGACCACCCGATCCCGTTAGTTGTCTTTTACTTATAGAGCCCTGGCAATCAAATAGACAGTCAAATTGGATATGAAGTGGATATGTTCCTTATTGTATCAAATTTAATGATTGGATTTTTGTGGAAAAGATGAGCTGCTTGAAGGAAATGGACAAGTTGAGCCTGTTGTTTTATTCTGAGTATTGTGTTGACAGTGCCATGTTGGCGGTGTCTCTAGATGACTACAGTGTTGTGGTGGTCGACATCGACACACGACGGGAGGTCCGGGTCTTCAGTGGCCACAGCAACATCATCACAGACATGGTAAGCTTAATAGTGTTTCTGATGACTTTCTTAAATGCCTGTCACACAGACCGACAGTATTAAACATATCATTCTGGGCCCCTTTCGTCAGTCCAGATTTCAACACACTAAGGGACCTGTCACAGGGTGGGTCAGAGGTTTTTGATGCACCGATGTACTGTAATAATGACCCTCCCCTAAAGCTTGGCATATTTTTGGATGACCCACCGCATGTTCTTGTACATTTCATATCATGACCCTCCCTGAAAAGACTAAATGTAAAAGCACTTCATACTTTATCATGAAATATCCATGTTTTCGTTACTCACCCAAAATATCTCACTCACTCACTCACTCACTCACTCACTCACTCACTCACTCACTCACTCACTCACTCACTCACTCACTCACTCACTCACTCACTCTAAATATGCCTCTTTGATGAAAGTTCCTGTGCGCTTCACTCACTCTAAATATGCCTCTTTGATGAAAGTTCCTGTGCGCTTCATATATTACCAATGCAAATATTATTTTAACTGCCCAGCTTGGACATTAAGAATATGTTGTTGTTTACTTCAGACATTCAGCCCTGATGCTCGGTGGTTGGTAACCTCATCCATGGACTCCTCAGTGAGAGTGTGGGACCTGCCCACTGGCAAGTTAGTATATCCTCTCACGTCCAGTATTTTAACATGTTATTTGCAGAGAAACAGATGTGAAGAATGGGGGATCTGTTAGAGCACAATGTGCTCTTATTGAATCATTAGGTGTATGTGGTAGCCAAGTGGTTGCTTGCCTCTTGAAACTTGGATGTGTTCTTCTGTGGTACATGTGAAATCCCTCTTGGTATCCTCTGACATGATATGGCTTGAATATTACTGAAAGGGGCTTGAAAACCTCTCTCTCATTCAGTATGATGTCTTCCTGGGTTGTTACCATGGTTACCTGACAGTTCCTGCCTTTGACTAAATATTTTTTACAAGAGTTGTATTGGATGTATTAGTGATAAGGCATGCAAGAAATAACAAGGGGCTGCTTTGCAGTTAGGAGCCCATTGTCTGGGTCCAGAGTTTGTATTCAGTGCAGCATGGGAAACTAAGACAGTGTCTCTGGGTTGTTACTGTTAGCATTGCTGTTAGCCTGACTCACATCATAAACGATTAGTTATCACATAGTCAAAGAGGTGTTTGAATGTCTTGAATCACATTTGCCAGGTCTGCCAATTTGCCAAGGCTAGTGCCCCTGCAAAGATATATTTGGCAGATATCTTTATGTTAGATAGGATTAAGAGTATAATGTGGTTACAAAAGTCGTTTTCTTATTTTATTTTTATATATGTTTGTTCTCTTGGAGAAAACTTGGGGCAAAAGTGGAGCTACATTTAACCATTTCTGTGTTAGAATGAGTAGCACATATTTACTTGTTAGAGTCGACTAACCTTCCATATTATCCTAACCCAAGGGGGCACAGGTGGCCCAGTCATCTAAGGCATCTATGTTTCAATGTTTGTCAGCAACATACTCGTGCTCATGGGTTTCACCGAAGTGATAAACGTCTGAGACCTGCATCACTTCGGGCTTTCCTAACACATTAAGCTGACACGCCGTCCTTTTCCAATGGGGTAGAATGTTGCTTATGATATCAATCACTGGTTTGTTTCACTCACTCAGAGTCAGGCCACCATGATATTGCTGACAGCGGCATAAAACGACAACACTATACACATACATAAAAGAGGCTGCCTGTCCAATTAGTCTGTCTCAAGTCATTCAGTCTATGTGTGCCAGACAAGTTTTTTTCCTTTAAAACTTTTTGACCGCTGATGTATGATTCTTATCTTTCCTTCAGAATGATTGACTGTTTCTTGGTTGATTCGGCGGTGACATCACTGAGCATGTCCCCGACCAGCGACTTCCTGGTAACGACCCACGTGGATGACCTTGGCATCTATCTGTGGTCCAACATGACCTTGTACACATACGTGTCACTGAAACCACTCCCCGAACACTACGAACCTCAAACTATGGCGGTGCCCAGTACGAGCCGCAGAGTCACAGCAGGTAGATCACCAAGCTCATGTAGTTCTTCCTGGACTCTCCTATTAAAGCAATTAGAAACCAACCATTTGATATTCAAGGAAGCGCCTAGAATTTGTTTGAACAAACTAAATTGGCCTCAGATTTTATTAAAAAAATGAAAACCTGTTCACAGGACATCAGGAATGTGAAGTTCTTATACTGTTGGTTAACAGGAAGGTAAAGGAGTTTTGAATGTGAAACAGAACACCAATGTGGAAGTGTCTCTCATTCCAGTGGATGTGGAGGACGCAGAGGAGCTGGAGATGTATGAGAAATCCGACTTCAAGTCTCCGGCACAGATCTCAGATGAGCTGGTGACACTGTCCCTTCTCCCCAACTCCAGATGGCAGAACCTCCTGCACCTGGACGTCATCAAGGTAGGCTGTGGGGAGAGACTCTTGGCTTCTCCAGACTCATTCATCATAACATTAAGGAATTCTTTCTGGTGCCCATCACTCACAGGTTATATTGAAAGAAGCACCCATGACCCATCAGCTTGGTATTATGCAGGTAAAAGGGCTATGTGTTTGTTATTTCTAGTACTTATGCCTCAACAGTGAGTATCATCAATGCTATCCCTTTCCGGGGGCTAGTAAAAATTGATAAGGACCAGTAATACGCTGTTGAACACTCTCCCTGTTGTCAATTTTCATTTCTACCTGTCACGGCTTTGCTTACATTGATTTTGTTCTATCCTGTTCAAAAGAATTGAAAACTTTTATCTAGTATAAACACAGGTAACAGAAACATTTCAAACCACATTTCCAAGCCATGCTTAGGAAAGTAGTCTAAGGGTGAGTGAAATACTGCTTTTATCTAAGCAGTCACTTGCCCTATCAAGTATCTCCAAAATAGATTCTTCACTCGATTGATGTAACACTTTATGCCAGGACTGCTTTCTGTATGCCTCAATTACACTATGTATTGCAGAGTTAGGTTATGAATGCCAAGCAAGCAAGCGCATAATAAATAGAACACTTGTCTATTTCTTGTCAAAGAACATGAAAATCTCATCTTGAGACATGCTAACTTGATATTTTCCTGAGTGGCGCAAAGACAAATATCGTCTTTGTGATTGTCCATTATAGATGTCTGTCAAACACTGCTTTACATCTAGGACCATCATACCACCTAGAACATTTACCATCCAATAAAATATTAAACATAACAAATGTATTTGAAACTACAATTTCTCTATGTCCTCACACTTTGGTTTTCACATATTATGCAAATTGTTTGTCCTTTCATTCTGTTGAAGCTAACCATATTTAGCAGACTGACCTGTTATATTTTCCACAAGCTAGAAGGACCACCTGAACTTACGAATTACTGGTTCTGAATAATGTCAACAAGCATTATCTGGTACAGCAGCACTTTTCATCAACGTGACATGTGCCTTGACTGGCATGAATTCCTCCTCCACCAATTAATGTCACAAGGCTCCCTGTGGATTCCTGGGTTAAAATAGGTCCTCAGCAACCTATACTGGTTATAAGAGGCAACTGAATGGATCAGGCTGCCAGGCTCAGTGACTTGGTTTACTACGTTACATCGTACTCCAAAATTAATCACTGGATTGTCTGGTCAAGAATTAATTATTTACAGGTCACCATCATATAGCTGGAATATTTCTGAGTGATGCATTTAACAAAAAGAAATAATAATAATGACACAAGAAATGCACAAAGAAGTCGTGACATCCTTCTGTTTGGTGTTTCAGCTAAGGAACAAACCCAAGCAGCCCCCCAAGGTTCCCAAAGCTGCCCCATTCTTCCTGCCAACGGTGCCAGGCCTGCAGCCCAAATTTGTCCAGTTGGAAGCCGGCGAGGGAAACACTAAGGTGAGTGGAACACTGCCATTGAACACAGAAGAAACTTGTATACTGTGGCTGAGTCCAGTGGAGAATGCAGGGTTGGTGTCAGTATGCACACACAGGCAGGAACAAGCTGTGTGACAGTCTCCATCTGCTTCCGTGCATGTATGTGTCAGTCAAGCAGGAACCTTTCGAAGTATCATCATTCTACTGAACATCAAACATCCATGCCCTGACTTTGGCAAGTTACAAGTCCATCTAACATGTACTGAATGTGCTCATCTATAACCATCACCCCTGAAACGTAGTGGACTATGCCACTTTTCTTTACTGTGTACACAAGCAGTACCTCAGTGTCAGACCTGTTGTTTGGCTTGGAACATGTGCAGTAAAATTCAGAAACGATGATTCTGCATTTTCTTATTACTACTGAGGCAACTATTTTTTATTGTGGCTTTTATGAATTTTTGTTTACCTGTTAGCTTTGATGGGTCAAAATATTAATATATTTGAGTCGCTCATTGTATTTTCGATTTTAGGATAGTTGTGGGATAGATGACCACCTTAAACTAACTTGGTCATGCATGCTCCCATCATGGGCTGTCTGTCCATTCATTTCCACATACATCATCTCCACTTGACCCTACAGGCCTCAAAGTTGCCACTAAAACTGTCGCCAATTCGACCTAAATTTCAATTTGTCTACTGTCTAAAATTCAGAGGTAGCCAAATGACTACCTTGAAAATATCTTGTGGCAACTAAATTCTATTGCTTCACATTTGAAGACACAAAAATAAATAACGATAAATGTAGAAAACATGTCTGCTAATAATTGCACTAGAGCATGTTGAGTACAAGTCCTGCTAAAGTCGACAATCAACAGAAATACATAAATATTAATGTAATTAGTATCTTATTTCAGTTGACCATGCTCATAGGATATGCCTAAATAATCTAGTAACATAAATTGCATAATTGTTTAAGTCACAAATAACAAAATTCAAGTACAGTTTCCACTAATATACAATTCCAAGACTAGTGCTATGACTTGTACATATAATAATAGTTATTTGATAAAAGATAATTTAAAATGCTATTGGCTACCTACAATATTGGATTGACTTCTTGATTTTACCACTGGCTACCTGGAAAAAAATGTTTGTAGCCATATGTCTACTTGGTAAAATTTAAACTTTGAGGCCTGCCCTACATTGCCTGTGGTGCTGACAGTTCACATGAATGAACCTACTTCATTTTTGGCCCAACTAACACCTTTGACTTCCATTTGTTGTGCAGACAAAGTCCTCGGTCTATCAATAAATAAGTTTATTTCTGACTCTGAGTTTCACACATGGACACAGTGACCTGATGGCAATATGATGAAGATCTATGTGTGGAGGTGGTCTGACTGCTGTATTAGCAAAGTGACTACCAGGGACTTGTACATGTCATAGTTACTCTGATTGCCTCACCGACAGTGTCCTGTTTCAACATGGTGTGCCTGTACCACTCTCAAGAATCTGTAACAATATTGAAGTTTGTGCATGAACCCAGGGTGGCTTTGCACATGGCTTTACACATGGCTGATCTTGCATACAAATGTTCGTCTTATCATGTCATATGTCAAGATGGCCATATGGAAGATTTCATGTGGTCAATGACTCTGCCATTTCTGTGTGTATCAATGTGACATTTGATTTCCATTAATTGTGTGATACCACAATACAAGACGTTTTTGCAAATAGTTTTGTTTACCATCACTCGATGCACTGACATGAAGTCCTATAATAGCTGATTTAAGAGGGTTGGGTAGTCAGCCTCTGTGACTTGTGTGCTGTGACCTCAAAGTGGTTGGATGTTGATCATGCTATCAACCACTGGTTTACCTTGACCCATCTCAGTTGTTAACAGGCCACCTTGACCCGTCTCAGTTGTTAACAGGCCACCTTGACCCGTCTCAGTTGTTAACAGGCCACCTTGACCTGTCTCAGTTGTTAACAGGCCACCTTGACCTGTCTCAGTTGTTAACAGGCCACCTTGACCTGTCTCAGTTGTTAACAGGCCACCTTGACCTGTCTCAGTTGTTAACAGGCCACCTTGACCTATCTCAGTTGTTAACAGGCCACCTTGACCCGTCTCAGTTGTTAACAGGCCACCTTGACCCATCTCAGTTGTTAACAGGCCACCTTGACCCATCTCAGTTGTTAACAGGCCACCTTGACCCATCTCAGTTGTTAACAGGCCACCTTGACCTGTCTCAGTTGTTAACAGGCCACCTTGACCCATCGCAGTTGTTAACAGGCCACCTTGACCCATCTCAGTTGTTAACAGGCCACCTTGACCCGTCTCAGTTGTTAACAGGCCACCTTGACCCATCTCAGTTGTTAACAGGCCACCTTGACCTGTCTCAGTTGTTAACAGGCCACCTTGACCCATCGCAGTTGTTAACAGGCCACCTTGACCCATCTCAGTTGTTAACAGGCCACCTTGACCCATCGCAGTTGTTAACAGGCCACCTTGACCCATCTCAGTTGTTAACAGGCCACCTTGACCCGTCTCAGTTGTTAACAGGCCACCTTGACCTATCTCAGTTGTTAACAGGCCACCTTGACCTGTCTCAGTTGTTAACAGGTCACCTTGACCTATCTCAGTTGTTAACAGGCCACCTTGACAAAGTTGAAATACTGCAGTTGGTGGCCCTTTAAAGAATTAACTCAAGTTTTATCTGAGTTTAAGACTGCCCTCCATTTCAGTTACAATGTATGTTAATAATTACATACAAACATCTATAACCCAGCAATTTCTACATTCTATTTTGTGATGATTTTGAAGTGTGTGGATGTGAAGCATGGTACAATATCATGGTTATGTATTCAGAGTATTTTGATGTTTGACACAATTATGATATTTGACTTTCTACTGCCCTATTGTGCCTATATCAATAAATAGGTAAGTTTATTAAGTTAAGCGCATGAATATGTGATCTGATGGCAATATGATGAAGATCTATGTTTGGAGGTGGTCTGACTGCTGTATTAGCAAAGTGACTACCAGGGACTTGTACATGTCATAGTTACTCTGATTGCCTTACCATAACAATTGCCATAACCAATCAGATTGTCTCAGGAAAAGCAGTGATTGTTATTCTGTCTCTCCTTCTAGAAGGGCTCTCGTATCCTGTCCGGTAACCTACAACCACTCTCCCCCCTGGCTCAGCTACTGGAGGATTCCAGGGACACAGGCAACTGTGAGTTGGGGTGGTGGGTGTGTGGGGATGGGGTAGAGAGAAAATGTTGTTATCTTTTCTCCATGCTGATGTTTGTCATGAATAATTGTTTATGGGAAATTAATGAATAACCTGCTTTTGAAAGGAATAGAAACCGACAGCTGTCAAGGGGGGTAACTCTCTCTGCCTTGTAGAACACATCTAAGTAATCAATGTTTGTGTTTTTTGGAGTAATGTTTATATCCATGTCTTTCCTGCCAATCAGTAATATAGGATGTTGATTGGCAAACCATTTTCCCCCATCTACTTGCATGACCCACATTCAGATGTACATCAGGGGTATGTTATCTTGTAGATTCACCAGTACTGGATCACCTGAAGGAACTGGGCCCCTCAGCTATTGATGTGGAGATTCGCTCACTGGCGCCCTCTGGTGGAGGAAATGTTCAAGTGATGGCTGAGTTCATGAAATTCATCAACCACAGTATCAAGACCAACCACAACTTTGAGATTGTGCAGGCCTATCTGGGACTCTTCCTGAAGGTAACCATGTGTTAATATCATATATGGTTGAAATTAGGGGTTGGTTATTTGTAAGGCCATGTTGACACTTTTTCATCTTTTAATGGTAATTCACAGATTACTGTCTGCTGTACTTATGTTAGCCAAATATCATTCACATACTCACTTCTACACAGTTCTTCTTATATCATGTATATTATGAATTTCTCCATAATCTTTCATATTACATAATTCTATAGCAAACCATTGTCATATTCTATAATCCATTATATTACATCATTCTATTCAAATCAATGCACAATTTGGATAATCCACAATATCACATAGTCCTATTCCAAACCACTGACAGTAGGCATTAGACTTAAAAAGGAAAAATATTTTTATATGTGGTCAGGCAGAGTCACAGTTCCGTTTTCTTCTGTCATTTCTTGTTTTTTTAGGACTTGTCTCCAGATTACACACTGTGGTGATTTTAGGGCAGAATAGGTTCCAAGAATTATAAGCTGATTATAAGAGCTGTCTAAATTGATGATCCAACTCTGTGACTTGACTGATTGTCATCTGTGGGATGGTGCAGAAATTGCTTGTGCTGTCATTGTTGCTGGAATATTGATTGCTTTGGTCTACAAAAACATGGACTTGCTCACTGACAAAACCGATTTGTGTAGAGTCCACCATGCCCATTCCTTTCATTATTGTTAAACAATACCTGGGAAGGATAGGGTCCCAGTAGCCCCATTATTATTGTACCATCAGAAGAACCTGTGGACTGATTATGATGTAAATATGTTTTTAACCACTGGGTTGTCTTGCCCCTTCTGGATTATTGACAAGCAATTGTATCATAGCTGACTCACTCACCCAACCACTGTCTAACACACTCACCTTCTCAGTAATGACTGTCTGCTGTTTGTTTCAAGCTGAATGCTGATGTGATAGCTGAGACCCCCGAGCTTGTGGAGGAAGCCAAGAGCCTAGTGACAAGTCACCGCGAGTCGTGGAGGACACTGGAAGACCTCTTCACCCAGTCACTTTGTCTGGTCACCTACCTGCGATCTGCAACCTTATAGCAGGACTTGGCCTTTGTGTATATAGATGCAATAAAATGTACATACTTAGTTCTTCCTTGTATTCTCTTTCCCAAACATCTGTATTGAAAGTATCGGGTAATCAAAATGAGATCCACCCATTAGGGCTCTTTTTTCACATGTATTGTGGATGAGAGGTATTCCGGTACAGAATATGTTCCCAGGCTTTATTGATTATTATGGATATGCTTTTGGTTTAGAATACAGCTGATAAGTTGTCTGTTGTTTAAGATATGTGAAAAATAGTTCACAGTTTGATAGAAAGTGCACAGTTGTTGAGGGAAAAAGTAGTGGGGCTTAGAAATAGGAGTTCTTGTAATTTTCATTTGATAAAATACAGGGAGGATTTATTTAAATGATCAGAACTAATTGTTGTTGTTTTAAAGGTGTTATGATACAATTAGATGTCCTTTTTGTACCCCCAGCATGTTATGCGGGGGATAGTGTCATCATCTGGCCTGTCCGCCATATTTGTTTCCAGAGCATAACTTGAAAACCAAACTCTTGGTACATGTATTAACCAGTGTCTGAAGTGGTGCGTATTGCTCTTCTGATGACTCTCGTTTCTTTTATTGAACTAAAAAAATAAGAAATATACATGCCCTAATACCGCTAAACACTTGTTTGCCAACAAGCACAGGTTACTACCCTACTAAGTGTTAATGCAAGCCTTGACTGTCTTGAAGAGTTGGTGCAGCTGCCTGCGAAGTTGCTGATGAAGTAGTATTGAAACATTCCCCCTGTTTTAATTACCTATACACTCTTTTTTTAAGTAGGCAACCGAATGAAGAATTCGTAAATTTCATAGCAACAGTTTTGTCGAAATAATTTCAATCAGTATTATTCGTGGGTGCAGATTGATCTTCTCGATAGCGCAGCGGCCCTTCCGACCTTTACCTGAGGAGTGGTAGGGTGACTCTGCAGTCTAAGGAGCCTCATTTCATTATGCTGGGTAGTTTAGAGGTACCGGGACCAGGTGATCCTTGGTTAGAACCCATATTAGCACAGATTGGCCCTTCCGCACTGTGATGGTCGTCTGTGGCTTTCAATTAAGTAACAATATCCCCGTGGCGATATCGTGTTAAACCAGTTCCCCGGCAACCTATGACCTATGCATGTATCGGGTGGTCAGGCTCGGTGATTTGGTTGATTGTGTGTGATCATACACCAACGGCGTGGGTAGCTGCTCAAAATATCGATAACTGGATCGTCTGTTCCAGACGGCCATCATATAGCTTGAAGATTGACGCGTTAAACAACAGAAAAAAGTAACTGTAAGAATGAAAGTAGTACATAGGGCTCTTTATAAACGCAGTCCCACAGTTAATAGCTACAGATATCCTGAAGAAAATGCAAAGATACACCTGTGTACATATAAACACACGGAATATCATACAAAGCAAACGCTAGACCGTCTCCAGTTAGTGCAGAACACTGCAGCCAGGATTGGGACAAGGACATCACGTACACTGGCTTCCGGTCGAGTCAAGGATCATGTAAATGCTGTCAACAACCAGGCTCCAGCTTATCTCTCTCCGCTCTGCTCCAGCTTCATAATCCACCAAGATCAGCAAATCAACTTCTGCTATCTGTTCCTCAGTATAGACTTTCCAGCTATGGACTAAAGACTTTCAGTGTGGCTGCCCCAAAGTTATGGAATGATCTTCCACTTGAGATTAGACTTTCGTTAACATTTCAGACATTCAAAGCAAAACTTAAGACACATTTGTTGAAATAAGGCTTTCTAGAGTGACGTTTGAATGTAGCATGAACTCTACATGGAGGCTAGCGAATTATAAGTGCACATTAGTATTACTTGCGGAAGACCTCACCTCACGTGTAAAGTATAACGTCATAAGCGGAATTCCCTATGCATGCACTATTCGGTTGTCGTGTGTTTGGGTATGTGGAAAAAAACCTGTGACGTTTGTGAACTGAATCATAACTATTCTTGCATCCTGGTCGCAGAACCCGGGTGCCAAATTCAAAGGGAAAGGGCCCGTATATCTTTTGGTCCCACCAGTGTTTGTCTTTCATTTATTTGTTTGTAGTTTAACGCCGCACTCCGCAATATTCCAGCTATATAAACTAGCCATGGTATCATTTTAGGTATTATTTTAAAAATCTTGTTCCTGTAAAATATAAGGTCACTATTTTAATGAAGTCATACACTTTTGTTTCATAAGGTTTTTAATGATTTATTACTTAATTATACCTCTTAATGCGTAGTGCTATCGTCGTTGTTACATTTCGTGTTAACCTGTATTTATGTTACTTGTGTCTATATTATATTCTTGACTGTAAACCAAATTCTCAAAGGTGAATCAAATTTTCAAATTGGGTAAAAAGTGTTGTCTTGACGTACCGTATGAAGTTAGGCATTAAACTACGGTCCCAATAAAGATAGAAAACTCGTGACAGTATGTTTTTGGGATATACCGTCATGCATGTACACGTGCTTCGTAGGTAGTCCCTTAATACTAGGTGAATGGGTACAGTTCGAACCTGTTTATTTCCGGATTCCAAAGCTAAATATTTGAAAAAGATACCGTCCTACGAATAACCTTTGTACAGATGCCGTCTGAGCATGTATCGGTGACATTAACGGTGGGCCTTTTCAGGAAGAGCTGTTCATTGGAACCAACCCATGACATTCTCAATTAATCAAACCTAATCAACCGCTCAAAAACCATAATTTATCGAAAAATATAGTGATTTCCCTGCATAAATAGGAGGTGTTAAGAATTCATTGTCAGTTCACAACGGGATCGAATTACCGACAGAGACTCGTCTGTCACCACCAATGTGTCACCACTGTCACTGGATGTGAAATATCGCCTCATGTTGTGAGTAGCCTTAATCTACAGCTTGTTCCGTGTGAGTTGCTCTTCCTGCCATAGTGGCCAACCACGTAACAGAACTGTAAGTAAGAGTAAGTTTAATAATTGAAACTATTCTGGAATTTTTAATAAAAAACCGGTTCAAACAATAACTTAAGTCTTCAAAAATGGTAAATTCGAAAATTCAGAACATTGCCCATTTACCGTTCCTTGTTTTCTGCTATATATACTGGTACAAAGACAACTTATCATTTATGACGTGAAATACCCTACAGATCCTTCACGATGTTGTTCAAGTCTTCTAAACAGAATCTATGTCAGCTCTTCTGTGCAATCTTTGCAGTAAGTTATTTTAAAGTTTGTACAAATCTGTACAGTATTTTTTTGGGAAAGTGAGACTGGGTGCCTCAGTTGATCCTGTGATTCTGAAATTCAAATGGAGGTGGTAGGTCCTTACTTGAACATGGAGTGACCCAATGATCTTAGGCGATTGGCTGATCATGGTTACTTCCCTCAGTCGTGCCAGGATCCGCAGTTCTAATGTCAGTGTCGCCCTGATTATCATCCATAGTTTGTCAGTATCATACTCGCGGTCATTGGTTTTTCCACAGGTAACAATCTACGATGTGAATCACTTTACTCCCACATGACATGCCGTTATTTGAAAATATTTTTGAAAGCTGTGTTAAATCCAATCTAACTAATCCACTTGCAAATAGGAATGTGTATGTCTTGTTATGTTTGTTTATTTGTTTAAGCAAAAGGTAAAAAGGCACGGGTGGCCCTGTCCTCTGAAGCGTCCCGATCTCAGTTTTATTTATATCAGGGTTGGGTGGGTCAGGGATTTTTTAAAATACTGAAAATAATGACCCTCCCCTAATGTCTGTCATACATTTGAATGAATAGTTTGCTCGGGACCTGTTATAACCCAGAATCCCAAATGAGGGACAACATCTATGTGCATTGATTTGATACAATCTCATTGAAATCACAGTTTTCGCTACCTCTAAACAAAGATCGGAGGCCATCCCATTACCAGTCGCGTCAGAACGACCTTTCTTCCGACCAATTGGAGCGTCGCTTACCAGATAAGGAATGTGACAATCGGAATGTTTTTTTATCATGCAACTTCGAAAAGGTTAACACGGGGTATTCCGAACGACAGTTACTAGCTGTATGACTGAATCAGTCAAAATCATCGTTTATCTTTTGCTTCTTTAGGAAAGACATTTGCATGGACCGTGGAAAGTACTCCCTTACAATCTCTGCCATCTGGTTTGTTTGTTTGTTTTTCAACGCCGCACTCAGCAATATTCCAGCTACATGACGGCGGTCTGTAAATAATCGAGTCCAGACCAGACAATCTAGTGATTGACATCATGAGCATCAATCCACGCAATTGGGATACGATGACATGCATCAATCAAGTCAGCGAGCCTGACCACCCGATCCCGTAAGTCGCCTATTACGACGCCTCATAGTCGCCTTTTATGGCAAGCATTCGGTAGGCATGGGTGGCTATCTAATAATTCCTGACAAACCATTCTCTACCATTACAGCTCTTTCATCTTCCAAATGTCGAGCCATCATGCGGCGGCTACATCATGCGAGTATGCGACACGACGGACACAATCGAGGCATCTTTCTACATGGTGCCAGCGTTCGGAGCAGACAAAAACGTCACCACTCCGGTTACCAAAGCACGACATATATATGGAGAAAAGAATTGCCCGAAAGCCTCCAACACAGACGCTCCCGGCTCCCCATTGTGCCCCGTCTACTATGTCCTGAACTTCGACGCAGCCCGAGAACCGTCGATGATTGTCGAAGCAAGATGCACGTGCGCTTACTGCAACGGATACACGCATGCGTGCAGCCCAGTGTACTACTTCCGTCCGGTGCTGGAGTACGATCAAAAGAAACAGTGTGGTCGGAAAGTCGTAAGACGGTTTCAAAGCGGGTGTACGTGTACTCGGGGGCAGTTCGGCCGCTAAACCATGACAGATATTTGGAAACGACAATATTCAATTTACGCAATTGTGATAACAGTTTTTATTTATTCCATAAAGTGTTTCTTAGGCCAGAAAAACATATTCTTGTTTCTGATAATACTTTTCTAAAAAATGTCAGGTAGGTCGAGATTTCCCAAACACTCCAACCTAAATTCTCAGATGTACTTAATAAAAACAA